GATTGTTGCACGTGGAGCGGTTGGTCCAACGGTGGGACCAAGTGGACAGCATAGTCCTCGTAAGTGTACCGAGGACTTACGACATTCGCATCCTCCCCAGATGTGTAGGAGGCCGCTAGCAAGGCGGCCGAATCTGGCGGAGTGAGAGGTGGAGTCGTCTCACCTCCCGCGCAACTCAGTTTCCCGAGTTGATGCGAGGCCGAACATCCTCCTTGCCCTGATCCTGGCAGAGGGAGGTCTTGTGCTTGGTGTTATTGCACCAATAGCAGCAGCCGTAACGACCGCGGTACTTGTACTCGGCCTCGGTCAAGTGAAACTTGACCCATGGTGCTGGCTGTCCGTTTCCGGTCGGCGATGCGGTTTTCGCCTTTCCGTTTCCTCGGGACTTGTTGTTGCTTCGCGGCTGGACAGCAGCCACCTGATCTCCCTCACGTGACGCTTGGGTGGATGCCGGGTCTTCCACAATGTTGTCCGATTGGACTGCAGCGAACTGCTGCGGTCGTGGACCAGTTTTCACCTTCTCCACATAGGTTGGCTGCCACGCTAACTTCTCGTGTGCAACTGCCCTGTTTGTCTGGATGATCTCCCTCTCCTTGTTGATGATTTCACCGAAGGTGTTGTACTGCTCGTGATCACCAAGTGCGAGGCTCAAAGCGGCGCATGACCGGTTGTAGAACTCCCGAAGCAGATGCGGAAATGGTAAGTCCAGATCGGGCGTCGCCACGATCTTCTGCCAATCCGTGAGCCAATCACATGTCGCTGTGTTTCCTTGAGCCATCGTGAAGATGCGGTTGATGGCGAGCGTCGGGGCGTCGTCAACGATGAACCGCTTCTTCCATTCCTTTGTCAGATCCTCCCAGGAGACCTTCGTGTGTAGGTCGAAGACCTCGACGCCGTGGACGGTTGCCATATGGCTGAGCCAGATCTGGCATCCTCCCTTGATGTTAAGGAACAGTGCGCCGATGAACAGATGTTTGGGGACCTCCTCCCTTGATGTTAAGGAACAGTGCGCCGATGAACAGATGTTTGGGGACCTCATGAATCCCCAACTCTGTTCTAAATCCTTGCCACCAGACGACCGGGTCCTGATGTGTGTAATCATCAAACTTCTCGATCCGGAACGTCGGCATCTTGTAATGCTTTGCCGTGCCGGTGCTGCGATCGTGGTCAGACGGCTGTTGTCGCTGCCTGATCTCGGTCTTCAGTGTGTCCAGCTGCTGGCTGATGGTGGCTGGCGCTGCGAAGGTGCTGATGTCACCTAGCATTGCCACTACATGATCGAAGCATTCCTCCAGTTGGCGGGCAGAGGGTGCATTGCTGGACTCGCCAGCCTCCGGTCTTGGTGCAGTCTGCTCCAAGTCCTGTACACGGGAGTCAAGTGCCCGTGCTGCATCCTCGTGCTGAGCCTTGTGGTTCCGCACGGCTCGCTGGAGGTTCGCCAGCTCGGACTGCAGGTGGTTACAAGTGTAAACCAACCGAGTCACGAGTTTGGCCATGAATTCCCTGTGCTGTTCCTCCGGTGTCGCGTCGTCGTGCCCTTCAGATGGTTCAAAGTGCCAATACTTGAGTCTTTCGATGTTGGCGGCTTCATGCCGCTGCAGCAGATCCTGGGCTTCCTTGCGGCGTGCCTGGGTATCTGCATCTGCTTCGGCCTGAAGCCGCTGCCTCTCAGCTGTTGCCGCTGCTTCAGCCTGTAGGCGGGCAGCCTCGGCTGCCAGCTGGCGCTGTTCCTCAGCCTCGATGAGTGCGAGTTGAGTCTGGAACCGCTGTTTGTAGTCGGCAATAGACTCGTTGGCCAGTTGGCCTGGCATGCCAGAGCTGCGCCCGTCATGGTGGCGGGGCACTGCTAACGTGGCACTGTGAGGTGGCACTGTTACTGCTGATGTGGCACTGTTGCTGACGTGGCACTGCTGACATGGCACTGTTGCTGACGTGGCACTGTTGCTGACGGGGCACTGTTGCTGACGTGGCACTGTTGCTGACGTGGCACTGCTGACGTGGCACTGCTGACGTGGCACTTGCTGACGTGGCACTGCTGACGTGGCACTGTTGCTGACGTGGCACTGTACCAACCCGGAAATGCATGCAAAGGGGTGGGTGGGAGGGAAAACGTAGGTAGGTAACCAACCCAACAA